CCACAGTATTTCTTTTTTAAACTGCATTGTGTGCAACGTTGACGGCCACCGCACCGTAAAGGTGAAACCAGAGTCTTTCAATACGTTTAACAAGGTTTCACCATGGTGAAACTGCGTGCCAACTAGAAGCCCATTTCAAGCTCTGCTGTTATCCTGGCTAACCTCTCTGCCTTTTTATTCTATTCTGTTCTCTCTCTTTCTTTCATGACAAAGAGGGTCAAATATACAGAAAAGAAAAAGAAAGTCGAGCCAGTCCACGTTCCCATCCGTGTCGAAATCGCACATGCGAGTATATCATACGGTCATCCGGTATAGTTCATTTCGTCTCGTGTATTGACAAGAAGCCGATGCGCACGATTGTGCACCGGCTTCTTCCGCAGACTAACATGTGACAGAATAAATACAAACAAAATTATACGTTAATTATTGTTTCGCCACTACTGCATTAACAAACTGTGCTTTATTTTGTTTTTGAATGTTGGGTTTTGATGTGCAATCATACATTAACTGCACTAAGACTGTTCTCTTTTCTGCACACATTTCATACTGATCCATACCGCATGTATTCTCATTCTGTACGTTTGCGAAATTCAGAATGTATTTCATTGTTTTCAGTATTCTCCACGCTTGTAAATTAAAGCTAAACTCTTTCCTCGTCACGCTGTCGCGTGAGCGTAATGGTGTTTCATGGAGCCACCACATGCGGCTTTTACCCTCACGTCCGCTCTTTTTCCGCATGATCTGAAGAGATCAAGTAATACTTCATTTCATTTCATTGCATTGCGTAGCAGCTGAAGCGCCACCATGCAGGCGGCTGCGAAGGCTGCAGTTCACCGAAATGTTTGGGTACAGAGCATTCGTTTTCATTTTATTTATTCACTCTGTTAAAATTGTAACTTCTGGAAATTTCCATTTCTCTTTACTCTCTGGCTTCAACTTTTTCATTCTTTTCGACTTTATACAGTGAGTGCCGAGACAAAGCAACAGTGATGTTTTTTTATGAACAAATGAAGTGCAAAGTAACTTGTAGCCAATCTTCCCACTTAGCGATGTTTCTGTCTGTCCATGTACAATCATGGCGCATGGAGTTCAGTTCCGACAAGAGGCTTTTTTCAGAACCCACGTATATAGGTTCCAGAAAGTTGAGCGCCCAGCGTATAAGGTAGACCGCACAAAAATCTTCAACAAACCCTGAGGGCCGAGTCTCTACGCGATTTCCAGAGAGTAGGACGGCACGCTAGTTAATCTCGCGGTGGTCATCACGGTCGTCTGCAGTGCCGCGCACAGCGCAGTCACTTCGCCCAACGACGCCACTAATTACATCCATTACAAGCCAGGCCAGTCGAGGGCACTCCCTAATTAGTCGCGTGGAGCCGAAGTGCGTCCCAAAACACGGGCACAGCAGCGAGGGATTTTCCCGTTCCCTGCACTCCCGTCCGAAAAGCGCTCACTCAGGGCCCCTCTTGGAAAACAGGCGCGCGAAGCGAGGCGTTGGCCGGACCTGGCTTTCATTGCGTCGTTGCTTGGGCCGGCTCTTCCCAAGCTGGGCGCGTGAACGCGTTATGTTGGCGGCCAACGTCGCCATGAGTTGGGACACGAAGAGGGCCGAAGTAGGCCTTCCCGCAGTGGTTCCGTAATTAATGGAGCGCCCAACAACGCCGACGCCGTAATTGCATACGGACAAGTGAGCTCCAAGTACCTCGGTGCAAAAATCCACGGCGTGGCTTCATCCAGCGCAGTATTATTGCTTGTGATGAGGAGAAAGCGGAAGCATTATCGACTCGCCACACTTTTCGAATGAATTATAGGATGCACCAGATATGTCAACCCAATGGAACTATGTCGCCTTCATTTCTGAGTGAACTTCTATGAATATACCAAAGTTTCTGTTTTTTTTTCTTTGTTTTGTCACCCTTCTGCAGACCATGTGCCTGTGCTCAAGAACTGTGTTCCCAATGTACTTCCATCGCTGTTAAGATAAGTGAAGGAAACTTGTTTCCATGCGCAGGCTTCCCCTTCAAACACGTGTGGCTTGCTCTTTTGTCTTTACGGACGATGAAGAGTTTGCGAATCACCGGAGAAAGCGTTATGAGAGCCAAAACTCTATACTGCGAGAGGGCGGTCAGGTTTAACCTGACCGTCCCTGAGTGGGCCTAGCTAGGTGACATCGAGTTAACTCGCGCCTAATTGTGTAACTAATAAAGTTGTTTCACTCACTCACTCCCTCACTTACTCACTAAACGAGCGTGGCTTCTCAATACATCAATCACAGCAGTCGTCTTTAGTGATGTCGGCGCAAGACTGAAACATGGACTAATAGGTTGCACTACATTACTGAACGGCAGCAGACCCACCCACAAACAAAGAATAGAAGCGCTGTGTATTCGTAGTCCTTCTATTCTTTGTCTGCGTGCGCGTCCGTCCAGTCATGAGATATACAGGTACACATTTGCACGAACGAGTGCAACGCGGGTCTCCAGAATTAAGGGTCGTGTGGCTTGCCTATAAAAGTGGCGGACGGCGCGTTGTTTCGCTGTCGCTATTGTGCGAAAATCGACATTCTGTATATACAGGCACATGGTTGTTGCAGTCGTGGCCTTAAATCAAGCTATTCAACTGGACCACCCTTTATCGGGCAGAGGTCTCTGCGGCGCTAGCGATTCGAGTGCGTAATATGTCCGTGTCACGGAGGATCCGTGTATGTGACCGCCGCAAGACCTGCCCCCGTATCGCTCGTCGGCGACGGCAACAGCAGCAACATAAGCGGCGATGGCGGTGCGCAAACGCCTAAGTAATGTTTTTCGTCACGCGCAAGTTCCGTTTTCGATAACGGATAGACGCGCACATTTTTGTGCTCCTTATTCGGCGCTGCTGATGCATGCAACTGGCTTTCTACGGCAGCGGCACCGGGTGTCGCTTCTTTCAAAGCCAGCGTATACATCGCAACCCTGTCGACGCAGGAATTTCCCAGGTCACAAGGCAGTGTATCCGATCGGAATAGCGCCTTCACTCGCACGGCGACTCTCGAGCAATGGTGATGCCTCTTTTCCGGCTCTGCGCACCTTTACAAGCGCAAGCGCATCAGTGGCACCGCGATAAGCCATTTGGCAATAACGTGCACTTGAAGAATATTTTGGCGCTCCCGTGTGGTGCCAGCTGCTTTTCGCTGCCGCACATGTATGCAGGGAAATAACAACAATAACAAAAACACCACAAAGTGGGCAACAACTCCTACTCGTACATATGTGCGTATAAATTTTTAATGGCTCACAAGCCTGAAAAAGTAATCAAATAAATACAAAAATTAAAAACCGCTGAATTTTTTGCACACATCGGTCGATTTCCTGTGGTTTAGTCACAGGAGAGGTCGGCCTGAAAAGCGAGTTCTTAGCCTGCTATACTTCTCGCGGGGGTAAAGGGAAAAGGAAAAGACAGAGAAAGAGGAGGGTATGATGAGGGGTGATTGTGATATAGCACTGTATGACTCACTTCGCACAATGTCTCGTTCGGTGTAGGACACGCACAAAAATCTCTACATTACCTTCATTAGGAGATGCTCAAAAGGTGGGAATATAAACCTGTCTTACTAGTAGAAATGCGAGCAGGCCCTTTAAGCTGAGTTGCCTAGAACCCAAAACCCAGCGCGTTCCCCAAGAACCCAAAAGCTTATTTTCCGAAAAGGGTCGGCCGTCTAGGTGATCTGTGAGGCGCTTAAGAGAATGTCTTTCGACCACGTATTGAAGGCGCACACAGAGGATGTGATTAATAGTCTTTGGCGTGTGACACAAATTGCAGTTAGGATTTTGTTCCTGTCCAATCTTGCATAAGTATCGTCGCATATATGCAGCAGCCAGCCGCAGTCTATGTTGTAGCGTTTCCTGGTCTCTCCTTAGTCGACTAAGGATAGCAAATGTGAAACCTTTAATTATGATGATGGACGTCCAGACTGAGAGTAAATTCAGCTTACACCGGGAGCAACACACGAAAATGTCTTCAGTATGCATGGCTTTGCCGAGCTGCGCACAAATTGACCGATACGTAAGCAGTGCTATCACAGGTACAAAATTTTCGCGAACGTTCTTAACTGAAAGGTATAACGACCAACTCCATGACTCACTTAGAAAGGACGCCGTAAGTGATGGAATATTCTTATTCTCTACCATGATCTGGCCCATCACGCGGACACGTATACTTTGCTTTGACACAGCGCAAAATCAGCGTTTCAATTAACGCTGACTGCGTATCATAGCAATTTTCGACGCGCCCAATACTGAAATACTACAATGCTCACTGTCATGATAAAGGAGCCGATCGGCACAATTAAACCACTGAACTCGACGATAGCAAGCACACCTCTCTACAAGACACGCCTTTCTCGTGCGGAAACAAAGAAAAGTGAGGAAGAAATTTGAGCGTCCCATACATATTTTGCTGACTTTGCCTCAGCGACAACATTTCAAGAGAGATCACGCTATTATGAAGGAGTTTGTTGGACGCTGGCGTAAGGGTCGATCGACCGGTAGCTCAACCAGCGGCTTAATTTACGGAACCCGAGTACGAGCGACGTCCGCGAGCAATGCTCAGTATAGACAGACCCACTAGATGATGCTTGAGAAGTTGCTACACTGCAGCGTGGATATTCGCTGCAATGCACGCTCTTTCTTTTTGATACACGCTTTTCTATTGTATCTATCCTTTCTCCCTTATGTCCTTATTCCCTCTTTCCTTTCACCAGCGGAGGGTAGCCAACGAGACGCTTTTCAGGTCAACTTTCATGCATTCTCTATTTTTCATTTCTCTCTCCCTTTCTCACTACCTCTAACTTTGAAACTCCCCTTACATCACTGGAGGGTGGCATACCAGTTTTGCCTAGACGGGTTAACCTCCCTGCCTTCCTCGCTAACCTGTTTTTTCCTTCTTTTTCTTTCTCTCTCCTCTGTTTTAGTTAATTACTGCTTAATTGGAGCTTCTACTAATAAAGCAGGCTATGCATGGCTCACCTTCCGGACTTCGTGATGATCATCTCGGTGCCGAGATCGTGAAACTTGTCCCAGAGGTCCTTGTTCTCGAGGTGGCAGTCTACGTGCACAAGTTCCTCCGAATTGCAGCGTGGCTTGAGACCGGCCGCGTAGGGATTGTTCGACGTCTTTGACGAAGAGGAGCCGCCGCCGCCGCCGCTGGTGCCCGCGCCGGAGTCTCGGGAAGACGTGCCGTCCTCCCCCTGGGTGGACACCGCCGGCGACACCGTGCTGCGACAGGGAGATGGCGACCGCGACTCGCACGGACTCAGCGGGGCGTCGCTGGACGGCGCAGGAGAAGAGGCCGTCGCCAGCCGGCACTCGCCCGCGCTTCCCGGGGACGCCTCCTCGGGCTCCTCCAGCAGCCGTTCTGCAACAACATGGATACTATCAGCCGGAGATGCAGACGAAACAAGTGATATCGCCACCAAAGTCCGTGCTCATTTCCATGTTCATTTTCTTCATTTTGGGGCCTCAAAACTGTTACTTGTATACCAGGCAGGTTAACCTCCGTGCGTTTTCTTTCTCATCTACGTTTTTTTTTTCTCTCTCTGTCTTTTATTAATAACTGTACGAGTTTAGCATACCAAAACCACGATATGATTATGAGAGACGCCGTAGTGAAGGGTTCCTGAAATTTTGACCATCTGGGGTTCTTTAACGTGCACTTAACTTTAAAACTTTACAACAGACGGTGGTTCCTTGATTTCGCCTCCATCGAAACGCGGCAGCCATGGCCGAGCATCGAAACCGCTTCCTCGAGCATAACAATAAGCATCGCTATGCAAATACGGCAAGTTTTTCTGCATGCTGCTATAGCGTGTTCCCACTAGTGCTTCTAAGGTGTTCTATGAAAAGATTTTGCGAACATGACAGATCGTTTATGACCTGCCATCGTGCTGCAAGACAAGCATGCATGTTCTCTACAAGACAAGTTCTTGCGTATTGTATATACGTTTTTTTTTTTTTGTCAAGAGTTAAAGTCGGACGTATCTACAACAAAATGACTGGTACAAATATATATCTTGAAGGACTTCAGCTTTTCATTTAAAGACGGTTGACCGCAGTTGCTTTTTTCCGCTTTTTGAATATATCTACAACTTTGTAGTGCTTTTATTATCATTGTCTTTCATTTCTTTGCTACGTAGAAGGAAGCGGATACTAACGTGCTACTATTCACATGAAGGGGGCTGAAGAAATTGCGCAGACAGAAATATTGGGCACCGCCAAGTGCCACAGATAGACAAAAAAAAAAAAGAGGCATCCGCGGAACCGACGCAGATGTAACGCGATACCGAAAGACACTCTTTATCAGCATCTCCGCGCGCTTCCGAAGCGACAGCGCGTGGTTGACGTAGCGAAGAGTCTTCTTCATTGGTGCTACGAATCGCCGAGTCAACGGAGCACTATTCTTGCCCGTGGCGGGCGAAATGGCGCGCCAGACCGAGTGAGTCAACGCGCGGCTTTCGCCGACGCGCGCTGGAATAAACGGCCGGCGTGCCACGGGACCGCCCGAGCAGCGCGAGCCAGCGGCGGGAGCAACATAGCAGTCACACTTCCCGCTGCGCAGGCAGCATCTTCGGGGAAGGAGCAAAAAAATGCGGCGCCCCCGGGAAAGAAGCTAGGCGGAACGGAGGCCTCCCCTTCCGACATGCGGCCTAGGTGTGCGCCGGAGTACGACCCTGGCTGCCAGCGAGGCACGCAACCACATCTGGTGACCTACCGCAGCCACGCTGGGCAACAGGAGACGCTGTGTCGCTTCTCGACCGTGGCGACAAACTCGCCATCGACTCCGGCTTGGGCGCCAGACCTCCCAGATGGTGGTGCTTGCCGCCGCCGCTCTTCCCAGCAACGATGGATAACCCCGAGCTGTCGCTCTTTCCGCTATCGGAAATCCGCAGCTTCGTCGCACTCTCCTCCGGCATTTTTTTTTTCTTTCCGGTCCTTATGCCTCGAGCTGTCTCTCCTCTCGCCGCCGTCGAGAGAGCAGCGTGCTGAGCGGACGGTGAACGACCCGTCGCCGACGGTCAGCGCCTGTGCAGCCTCGTGCCGTGGCACTTGGCGCGATGTCCACATATAAGGTACTTCCAAGCACATGCTGCTCATCATGCATCACAGACCGCGCAACGACAGCTATCGGAAAGGGCCTCTCGTGTGCGCGCCGCCCGCAGCAACGGTCGCTTTCGGCAACACGAAGGCGGCAACAGGGCTGCGCGTTACGCTGCGTCCTAATGACATGTAGCATCACACAAATGGGATTGACGGTGAACAGGCCTTCGCTTTCTCCTGCAATGTGTAGCTACACGGCACGACGGCTTCTCATTTTTGTTCTTTGCGCACGCAGTGACATTCACCGATACCTTCACATATGTAGCAATCAGATTGAGTGTACCCGCATCTGTTTCACTCAGTAAAGACAAGAAACCACGCCATGGTCAGAACTATGCCCTCAACTTTGCCTCCTTCTATATAAGCCAACTTGCATTTCTCATTTCACTTGTGGAAAGTGTGAATTGAGGAACAACGGTATCACTTGTTGTATTCTAACCGCTAATTGTGATCACTGAGGCAGCTATATGAACTTAAGCGCAATAACTTCCAGGTTCTTAAATAATGTCCGTCCAATTGAGCACTATACGTTCACCATAGTTCACAAGGCTTTATTATTGCAAAAAATAATAACAAACTTATACTTTGTACCAAGTATTTTCAGTGATACTACAAATACCCTTATGTAGCCTGAACGATGGGAAAATCGGCTCTACACTAACTAGTTGCTGCTTCCTCTCTGGTTTTAATGGGAACTTTATATCTGCAACCGAGGTTGCAATGAAAACCAGGATGGAAACAGCCGCTAGATAGTGCCTTGTACAGTACACAATCACCGGAGTCCTGAGTGTGTCCGTTCGTAGGCTTTTGAATATGCCTGTGCCATCTTCCATTCGTATTCGCAAAACTTGAAATGTTTTCAAGAGAAGATGCCAGCCAACCGTGATGCTGGGCATACTGGTAGCGCAGCCATGGCTACAGGTCGCGGTGAATGGAAAGCGAGGCCATGCAAGCAAAAGGCTGCACGCATTTGATCCGCATGGTCTGTATACTCGCATCATCACGTATTCTAAACATCACACGTATGGCGATGAAAAAATAACAATAGTAAAAAAGTAATCATAAACTGAACCTCTATCGTCATGGCAGATGAGGTCGCCAGAAGGGTTAGTCTCTGGTCGCACGCGAACCTTGTAAGCGTTTTCTATGCAGCGCCAGTGACGGTGCAATTAAATAATAGCTCATTCGACAACACAATCAGTCCGCGAGCAATAATGCCGATGATAAGACAGCGGGGAAAGGAAACAAAAAGCCGAAAAGCGCGCAAGACGAAAGCAGCCGACATGGCAGCAGCGCAATTACCTCGCTTTGACATCTGTACCGCGAGGCCATGCACGTGAAACACGTCAGCGACGTTTCGCAGTCGGTTCCGTCGCGACACGTACATATAAATTGTCAGCAGTACGGGAACAACCAAAGGACGGTCTTTTTGAAGAACTGTGGCCGGGCACAATATCCGATAAAACAGGTCCCGTCCTATTATAGAGGGTGTGCTCGGCGTGTACCAGGCTGTAAGCTTGTTCCTCGCGAGCTCAGTATACTTACAGCGCGTATCGCCGGCGCACCCGGTCGCGGAGGACGCGTCGGATATGTCTATCAGGGCGTGTGCCCGGCGGCCGCCGAGGGGAATGCGAGATGAGCTGCGCTATCTTGGCGCGCACCCGACACAAAGGCCGACCCGAAACATTTTCAAGTGCGCTTCCAAATGGCTTGGCACACTTTGCACTAAATGGATACCCTCCCAGATGAGCCCATCTTTATTCCATTCACTCGCGCCTCGGGCGTGATGGAAATGCCCGAGACGCGACCAGCTGTGGCCACGAGTCTGCCGCCATGCAATACGGGGCGGCATCCTTGCGCGTGCAAGACTTGATTTCTATTTACAGAAGGCCTATGCGCGGCTTTATGAAAGTAAGGGAAAGCCACTTCATCCACAACGATGGGTGCAGTAGAAATTTCCGCCATTGCCTTAAGGAGGAGCGGAGCCATTCACAACGGGCGGCCGCAAAAGAAAGACGATAACTTATTTTACTTTTAAGATGCCGCACGATAACGCGGTCTGTTCCTGCAGAACTCAACCGCCAACAAGCTTTCATTAAGGACAAAAATATATATTATAGCTGCTCATACTGCGGCATCCTAAGGGTAAAGCAAGTGTTATGCCGGGCCACGTATAACAACTTTCGCATATCGGTATATACGCGGATGCTCTGGAGTACTTGAGGGAAGGTACTCCATGCACCAAAATTCACAAAAGGAGCTTGCTATATGTTGGGTCATTTGGGAGAGATGACTCCCAGCAAGTCATGGTGCTGAACATACGTGACACATGCGAAAGGTCGCCTGGTAATGCAACTTACGAATCACGTGTTTTAAATCGCCCAGTCCTAAATACTGGTTTACGCGATCTATAATGCGAGAAAGAGTAAAGTTTCGGTATATAGAATCAAGGGGAACCACAAACGAACTTCGCGAACTCTACGTATAAACATCCCTGCCAGCCAACTGATAACAACGAAGCATTCGCCATCAGCATAACGAGAACCCGAAACAGGAAAAATAACAGGCGAAAGCCCATTCACAGAAGACTCTTGTGCTTGAATTGCAAGCAAATTGTTCATAAGATGCAATGGTAGGAAGCAGCCATGAACACAAAGCTTTGTGAATTTGGCCTTTGAACGCCTTTACCCATTTACTATAACGAAAATGCGACATTCACGGACTCTGTAAGCATGACGTGCAGTCCTAAATGTGTGTTTCTGAGTTATCTCTCGAAATACGGGTGACGCTGTGCGCGCGAAAGCGCGTATTGTCTAGGAATTATTTCCAAAAAAAAAAACACCGCGTGCTAGATTCAGGTGCACGTTAAAGATACTGCAGGTGCCTCGCACGACGTGCCTCGTACTGAAGTTTTGGTTTTGGCTCGTAAAACCCTGGTGATTGGGATTTACTCTCAATTGAACTCAGGCTGTACAAGCACACGAGCTCACAGAAGCGAGCTGTATATTGGTGTCGCAAAGACGTCGCACCTGTACGATCACAGAGAGACCATGGTTATGGTGCTCGGCTATAGGTCGTGGCCGGGATCGAATCTCGGCTGCATTTTCGATGGAGGCGAAAATGCTCGAGGCCCGTATGCTTAGACCTATAGGTGCACGTCGAAGAACC